ATTGCTTTGAACGACCACTTAAAACAGGTAAGAAGGTGCTCAGAACCTTCCTGAAAGGAGATGGAGGGTAAATTAGTCATTATCAGCACGCTGAAGTGAGCACCCTGTTGTAAGCAAAATAGGCCTCCCGCGTAACTTCTCTGTAGATACTTGAGGTAGCAATTGAACGAGCTATGAAATCTTTAATGTGCCCCGTGATGAATTATCACAAGTAGGCTTCATGTGGGAAACAAGGGAGGGGAGAAAGACACATCTTCAGGCTGACCACCATGAAGAGATGAGGTGGTGCCGTAACTTCCTGGCATCTGGGAAAACACACCAAATGTCATAAGAACATAAGAACATAAGAGATGCCAATGTTGGATCAGGCCAAAGGCCCATCCAGTCCAACACTCTGTATCACACAGTGGCCAGAAATACCAGTGCCATCAGGAGGTCCACCAGTGGGGCCAGGACATTAGAAGCCATCCCACTGTTGTCCCAAAGCAGTTCTATGGACAGGATAACAGTGATCATAGTAAAATCCTCTAGTTTGATCAGCGTTATTATCTTTGGACTCTCAATTCTAATAATTATGGGGGGGTGCATATAGGAGCTGCATATAGCCAGCCAGCAAAACGAGAAGTGTTCGTTTACACTAACGTTATTAAGTGATGTATATGAGGACTGCATATAGTAACAGCCAGAGTTCCATACTGTTACTAGTTTGTTGATTGGAACATCTGAAAGGAGATGAAAGAGCAGCGTCTAACGAAATGCACAAACAGATTTTCTTCTTGGAGCGGATAAGGGATAGACAGCCTCTTTTCCTCCCCCCCCCCCTCTCTCCAGCATCTCTGATCTTTTACTTAATCCCCTTGCTTTTTCATAGTGTTAATCCGGGAGTTTGGTTGGAGGGATTTTCTGATACGTGTAGGATAAACAGAATTAATCCAATCACAGAGATTATATCTCAGACTGTCAAGAGATTATTTTGCAACTGGAAAATGCAGCTACTTTGAATTTCACTCAAATGTCTGTGCTCTTTTTGATGTCGCTTCTTTGCTTTCAGAGACGGGAAGTGGCCAAAACTGTGTTCTGCTTAGTGCTTGTTTTCGCATTGTGCTGGCTCCCCCTTCACCTTAGTAGAATACTGAAGCTCACCATCTACAATGACAGTGACCCCAATAGATGTGAATTCTTGAGGTAAGACAGTCGTAGCAGAATACCAGTAGAGCTCTTTAACTGCTCCCAGGAGACTGCTGACAGTGTGATTTATTCTCCCAAAGGATGTATTTAGAATGAGGAATATGCAGCCAGTTCATTGAACCAGCAGCCTATGTGATCATCACCAACAGTATGCAGGACTGTTTGCTGATGTACCTGCAGCTTGGACTAGAAGTACATGGCAGTGTCACCTTTGTTATCCATTGCTGAGTGGATTGCCCTCAAGAGGCGGAACCACCCTTCTGTCTAATTCTGAGGAAAGGTCTTAGAGTGCGGATCAAAAAATCTATAGAATGGGTTCATGTACAGATAGGGGCATATCTTTCTACAAACCTGGAGGATGCCCCAGGTTTGCAGAAAAATAAGAAATGTAAAATACAGGTAGTGTAGGCTGCTGGTATTGCCAGGGGAGACAACAAGGAAAATCTAGAGGGATAGAGGGAATGGGGAAATAATTCCCCTCAGGAGTCCTTGTTTGTTTACAGTAGTTGATGGATTCCAGATAAGCTGTGAGTTTGGAGGTAGCCCCTGTCTGCTTCTAGAGGTGATTGCATGTGGATGTCTGTCTGTATGAACCCTATCTGAGATGTTATGGCTCCACTGCTCGGTCCTAGACCTCGGAGGTATGACCGCTTTTGAAGATGACTTTTGCCAGTAGTGTCCTGTCGAATTGGTAAGATCCAGTGTAGAGCATAAGACACAAGCCAGACTCTTGTTAGTTGCAGTCATAGTTACTATGATTCTTGAGAGAACATTTAGGAACAGAAGTATTTAGATACTTTCTGATATGTGATTTTGCAGGGGAGAGTGCCCATAACCAATGTGTAGTAATCTTAAAGGTGGAACACTGTTGTCTATGTACTGTTAGCCTTGCGTGGCCTCCATCTGCAGATGCTTAAATCTGCAGATTGGGGCCACACCGAGGGTAAACAGATTTTTCTTCAAACTTGGGGGACTTCCCAGGTTTGCAGAAAAATCTGGAATCAATTATAAAATCCCCCACTCAAATTCATTTGCGTTGTCTGTGCATTACCAGATGACAGCAGGGCAGCTGCAGCCTGGCCTGGTGGCAGCCACCAACAACTACACCAGGCATGGCCTCAGCATCAGAGCATGCCTGGGAGTTGCTGCAGCTTGGCCACAGTGGAGGAGGACTCCTGGCAGCCATTGCAGCCCGGCCGCAATGGCGGAAGACACTTAGCAGCTATGCCAAGCTTGGCGGAGGACACAGGCAGCTGGTCCCAGCCACAGTGGAGGAGAATGCCTGGGATTGCTGCATTCCAGCCACGTTGGAGGAGGGCTCCTGGCAGCCGCTGTGGCCCGGCTGCAACAGTGGAGAACATCCGGCAGCCACATTGGGCCCAGCAGCAGAAGATGCCAATCACCATGACAGGTTCAGCATCAGCTGAGCCAAGCGGTGGAGGAGGATGCTGGGTTCATCCTCCCTGTGAGTCCCCCCCCCCCAAGCTGTACGGGGAATCAGCACTGATGCAGAGGGGTTCCCCTCCCTGATGAGTATTGTGGGTCACTTCTGATGGGTTTTACTGTTATGTACTGCAGATGGAGTAGATAGAGTAGCAGAGGAGCTGCGGTGGCTCAAGTGGTTAAGACGCTGAACTGCAGGCTGTGGAAGGTCGGTAGTTCAGCAGTTCGAGACCCAAGTTGCCGCATGACGGAGTGAGCTCCCGTCTCTAGTTCCAGCTCCTGCCAACTCGTTACACAACCTAGCAGTTCGAAAGCAAGAAATTGCAAGTAGATAAATAGGTACCACTTTGGTGGGAAGGTAACAGCGTTCCGTGCGCCTTGGTGTTTAGTCATGCTGGCCTCATGACCACGGAAACGTCTTCGGACAGCGCTGGCTCTTCAGCTTTGAAACGGAGATGAGCACCGCAACCCTAGAGTCGGATTTGACTGGCTTTCGAGCAAGGGAACCTTTACCTTTACTTTACTGCAGATGGGGAGATCACACCTTGGATGATGTGGTTTGTGGGCAGAACTGTGCTGCGTAAATGGCAACTTCCCTCTCCTCTGCCTGGCATTTATACCTTCTGAAATTGTTCCCCTGGGGTCAGCAGGCCCTCAGGTATATGGTAGGGTCCAAGTGAGGGCTGCAGTAAGAAAGGAGAATCAGCAAAGCTGCCCTCCCACTTTTCTATGAGTAGAAGTGCCTACTGCAAGCAGAAAGAGAGCTTTTATGATGAAATGTGCAGTACATTTTCCTGATCAAACAAGCATGCTGGTAGGCAGCACTTTGTAGAATGGAGCCAGAAAGACGTCTCATGGTTACAGACAGTATTGAGACACGGGGAATGTGCCCAGACCAACACATTGAGGACTCTTTGGACAGGAGAGGGATGATATATGTTCTCCTGCTGGTTTTCACAAGAGCTGGGGGTGCCCTTCTTGATGTATTCCTTCTTTTAAAGAACCTCAGCAGACACCCACAGTCCTCTTCTTCCTGAGGGTTAAGACTGAGCAGTGCTCCTTTTCTGAGCCTAATAGTACTACACAGATCGTGGCCTAGTCCACCTTAAATGGACACAGTCTATATACTGTTTATGGGGAAACCCTGCGAGATACCCAGGTCTCTGGTCCAAATACAGTGTTGCCGTTACACTGTTGATGTACTTTGCTGGGCAAGCCTATAACTATGGCAACTGTGTTTTTCTTGATCTCTTTTTGCACCAACAGCTTCATTCCGTTTGGCTATTCTTGGCAGCTCCCTGACAACCCCGCCCTCGGCTCTAAAGGATTAGGTTCAGGGTGGGGGGTACATAGTTGAAAGACTAGGAAGAGAATTTCTCCCTCTTGCTCTCTCTTTGTGTTTTTATTACCCAACATATAAATTCCAGTTCACTATCCTTCTTCATTTCTTCCAGGATTCCTGACTTCCAGACTTTTCTGCTGGATGGCTCCTCTTTTATCTCCCGGTTTCTTAATTTCTTAGCAAAACCTCCCAGCTTTCAATCACCATCTCGAGTGTTTCGCCCTTCTGACTTTCTTAGAGCCTGCTGTATTCCAGAGGAACCTTCCTAATAATTGTAGAACCTGTTGCTCATTTTTTTGTAGGAACGTCTGGTCATACCTTGTAGTAATATCACTAGTTTGTTCTGGGAAGACAAGAGGAAATGATCTCTATAATGTTCTTTCGGACGATAGTGTGACTCAAAGGCTGTGCATGTTTTAACACAAAGGTTTTGAAGAGTTCCTTCAAAATAATTATAATGAGGAATACATTTATTTGCCACTGAAGCTCAACATTTTGACCCAGATGATTTTGACAACGTGATTGCTTGCCTAATTACTGCCTAAAGCAAGGGTGCCAAACATAGGGCCCGGGGGCCAGAACTGGCCTGCCCAGGGCTCTTATGCGGCTTGCGAGCAACTACTGCAGTGGAGGGAACAGGAGACTGTTAGTGCAAGAGTGGGTGGAGCCACTCCAATTGTGGTTTCAGCATGGCAGAACAACCTTGTCTGTTGCAGTCAAGCTACGGGGGAGCGTCTGCCCAGTGTGCACCGCTAGCTCTCCAGTCCACCCATATGGGTTTTCTTTTGCACCCCCCTCCCAGGCCATGGGGCCTTGCAGTGAGAATACAATGACTCGGAGCTTGCTGTCCTATATGCAGTTTATATCTCTGGTACCTAGCATTACGTTTTATGACACATATGGCCTTGACCTGGCACAACAAAGTTACATTTGTGTCAGATCCGGCCCTCATAACAAATGAGTTCGACACCCTTGGCCTAAAGGGGTCTGGTGAAGAAATGGTGAACTTTCTCTAACTGGTTTTTTTTAAAAAAAAAAATAAGTAGTAACATTTCTTTTTTATTGTCTTGCAGCTTTTTGCTGGTCATGGACTACATTGGCATTAACATGGCATCTCTGAATTCGTGCATTAATCCCATCGCTCTCTATTTTGTAAGCAAAAGATTCAAGAACTGCTTTAAGGTAAGGAGTCCTGTTAGCCGATTACCGTAGAAATGAAAGTAGACACCATTGGATAAAAACTTTGCACTGTAGACTTTGCCGTGTGGGGCTCAGAAGCGATCAGAATGATGGGTTTAAATTATGCTTACCCCGCAAATAGG